GCGCTCCTCGGAATAACAGTACAGCCGCACCTCGCCTCGGTCCTCATCCACCACCTTGTGCAGGTGAACCTTGTGGTGCGACCGGGTCTCGATGGCGATGGACCGCTCGGGGTCGAAGCGGCGGGTGCGTTGGCGGCTGACCACCAGATAGCGGTAGCCGTTGTCGCGCAACCAGGCCACGTTGTCCTCGGTGGCAATCCCCGCATCCATCACCACCAGGGCGTCGCCGGGGCGCGTGCAGGGCCTTGAGCATCGGCTCCAGCGTCTTGTCTTCGTCGACCCTGCCGGCAAACACTTCGGAGCGGCGCACGAAACCCGAACCGTCCAGCACCAGCCCCAGGGTTCCGACCTACGGGTTGCCCCCGTTTGCCATGGTATGTCACGGGGTGCCAAGAGCCGTCGCGGTTCGTCAGGGTTTGTCGAGGGTTGCCGGGCGTGACCGGGCGTGCCGGGTCCGCATGGATACGCGTCACGCCCCGTGAAGCGCCGGCAGCACCTTGGCGGCGAAACGTTCCTGCTGGGTTGTCTGGTCGGGGGACCCGAAGCGGACGACGATGGTTTCGGCGCCGCGCTCCACGAATGCCTGGAGCCGTTCGATGCAGCGGGCGGCAGGGCCGTTGCACGGCGGTTGTACGGCCACCATGGTTTCGTAGGGCACGTTGTAATAGCCTTCCATGAAGGCGCGCATCTCGCGCTCGGCCTGGGCGGTGTCGTCGTTCAGGTTGACCGTGACGTACACGGCTCGGGCGAGCTTGCCCGCGTCTTGCCCCATCTCCTGCCCCAGGGATTCCAGCCGCTGCCAGTTGCGGGCGAACGACTCCGGAGAGGTCGGCAGCGGAAACCAGCCGTCGCCCAGGCGGAGTACCCGGCGCAACGCGTTGTCGACGCCCCCCGCGAGCCACAGCGGTATGCCCGAAGACTGTACCGGACGAAGCCCCAGGCGCACGCCTTCGAGATGGAAGTGGCGCCCGTGAAACGTCACTTCGGGCTCCGTCCACAGCCGCCGCATGAGCGCGACCCCCTCCTCGAAGATGCCGATGCGGTGGCGGAAGTCCACGCCGCAGGCGGTGAACTCCCTCTCGATGCTGCTGTTGTTGCCGGCGATGCCGAGGCCCAGTATCAGCCGGCCGTGGCACAGGAGGTCGAGGTTGGCCAGCTCGTTGGCGAGCACCACGGGGTGGCGTAAGGCCGGGAGCAGCACGGCCGTCCCGAGCTTCACACGGCTGGTGCGGGACGCCGCCGCGGCCAGCGTGGTCAGCGGCTCCAGGCGGGGCCGGGCAAGGATGCTGTCCCCCACCCACACGGAGTCGAAGCCCAGCGCCTCGGCGCGCTCCGCCAGTTGGACGATGGGGCCGCAGTCCGGCGTTGCCTGCGCCATCACCACTTCCCGCGTGGGCAGCAGATACCCCACCGAGGTTTTTGTCTGTGTCATGAAATTCCTCCCGAGTCGATATTGGTGCTTCTTTACTGGTCCGCGGGGTACGGCAAACCCCTCTCCCTCTGGGAGAGGGTGGCCGAAGGCCGGTTCGATTCGTCCCAAATCCAGCCCCTCTCCCTTTGGGAGAGGGTGGCCGAAGGCCGGGTGAGGGCGCCGCAATAGCCCTGACTAGCCCTGACCCTCCAGCGCCACCCCGCTCATTCCTTGCCGTTTGCGATGGGCTGCTTGCACTGGGGACCCTCACCCCAACCCTCTCCCAGAGGGAGAGGGGGTCGGAGGGCTGTGATACGAACCTCCCCGATATGCATCGCAATATGAAAACGCAACACTAGTGTGGTGTCTCACAAATACGCTTACGAATCTGCGGGTCCTTTTGGCCGTCGGCTGCGTACGTCACTCCGGGCTTGACCGTGGGTCTTCCTCGCGTGGTGCCCGCCACCAGGGGGCGACCGCCGGTCGCCCCTACAAGTCATCGCGCCTTGCCGACGACCAAAATGCCCTCGCATCTTCATAAGCGTATTTGTGAGACACCACACTAGCCGCCGTTGAACGGCTGCATGACCTCCTCGGCCAGCCATTGGATCTGCTCCAGCATCTCCGCTCCCGTGTCCGAAGGGAACTGCAACGCGCATACGTGGTCGATGCCGGCCTTGTCCAGGAACGCCACCTGCTCGAGGATGCTGGCCGGGCTGCCGATGAGGTTGTGGGTCTCGGCCAGGGCCGGATCCCGGCCGGTGTGCGCCAGGGACACCCGGTGCTGGACCATGCCGGTGTTGCGGTAGCGGGCCCGCGCCTCTTCCACCGTCTTGCCGATGCACAGGGTGAACTGGGAGCACGCCTCCACGTCCCGGGGGTGCCTTCCGGCTTCCTCGGTGAGCCGGCGCAGCAGCGCCACGCGCTCCCACGATCTGATCGAAGGGCCGCCAGCCCGGCAGCCATCCCTGGCCGAGCCGGGCCGCGCGCCGGATCATGGCTTCGTTGTGTCCGCCCACGAAGATGGGCAGCGGGTCCTGCAGCGGCTTGGGGCGCATGGCAATGTTCTTGAAGGCGATGTGCCGTCCCTCGTAGCTGGCGTCGGTGTCCCGAAACAGGCATTGGAGCGCCGCCAGGCTCTCGTCCAGCAGGTCGCCGCGCCGCTCGGCCTTTCGTCTCGGGCCACTGGGCGTCGAACTCCTCCCGATAGGCGCCGATGCCCGTGCCCAGGATCACCCGCCCGCCGGTGAACCGGTCCAGGGTGCTTATCTGCTTGGCCAGCAGCACCGGATCCCGCAGCGGCAGCACCAGTACGGCCGTGCCCAGCCGGATGCGCGTGGTGCGGGCGCCCACCGTGGCCAGGGTCACCAGCACCTCGTAGAAGTTGGGTGGCGCCGGCCATTTCTGTTTTGTGTAGGAAGCCGGCGTGACGTGGTCGTTGCCCCACACCGCGTCGTATCCGAGCCGTTCGGCCTCCTGGGCCATGAGGACGAACTCCTCCGGTTCCACGAACGGAACCGGGTTGACCAGGCCCTCGGTGCAGGTGGGGAGTTGTATGCTGAATTTCATAGTGCCTTACTGGGAGCCCGCCGCGCTTCCCCGGCCCCGCCACCCCTGGATTCCCGCTTTCCAGGCTGTGTCAAAAACTCCATCCGAGCGAGGCAATGACCCCCGAAATCGTCATTCCCGCGAAACAGGCCGTGTCAAAACCCCTCTCCCTCTGGGAGAGGGTGGCCGAAGGCCGGGTGAGGGCCCCCAATAACCCTGCCGCTCCCATTCATTGCCGTTGACACCGGCCTGCTTGCCACGAGGTTCCCTCACCCCAACCCTCTCCCGGAGGGAGAGGGGGTCGATGGCGGCCTGGGCCGTGGGTGTGGCTCTCACCCCAACCCTCTCCCAGAGGGAGAGGGGGCAGTTTTGACACGGCCTGGAATGCGGGAATCCAGGCGAGGTGGAGCGGGGAAACGCCGCTGTAGCGCCCCTCCAGGACCCCTGGATTCCCGCCCCCGATGGGGGTCGAGGGCAAGCTTTCGCGGGAATGACGATACGGGGCGTCGGCGCCATTCCGTACCCAGGCGGAGTTTTGACACAGCCTGTTTCGCGGGAATGACGGATTTGGGGTACCCGCTGTCACGTGTCGACACGATAGCCGTAGGCATCTCTCAGGGTCTCCAGGAATTGCCCGATGTCGCCGTCCACGGTGGGGACCGCCCGTGCGGCCGCGGCCGTGGCGGCGGTGTCCTTGAGTCCGCTCGCGGTGTTGACGACCACCACCGTGTCGCTCCGGCCGATGCGCCCTTCTTCGCACAGGCGTGCCACCGCGGCAAGGGCGGCCAGGGAGGAGGGCTCGGCGTAGATGCCTTCGTCCGCGGCCAAGTCGCGTTGCAGGCCCAGCAGCTCGTCGTTTCGCGCTACCCGCGCGGTCCCGCCGGACGCTCGCAGCGCGTGCAGCGCCTGATAGGTGCTCTGGTTCACGCTGATGGAGCCGGCCACGTACGGTGAAGGAGCCGCGATCTCGGGAATGGCGTCTTCGCCGGAAGCCAGCGCCGCCGCAAGGCAACCGGCCATCTCCGCCGCCACCATGCGCGGCTGCTTGCGGATCAAACCCAGGCGGGCGAGCTCGTCGAAGCCCTTCCACATGCCGAACAGGGCGTCGCCGTAGGCCACGGGCAGCACGCACCAGTCGGGCGCCTCCCAGTCCATCTGCTCGCAGACCTCGTAGGCGAGGGTCTTGTAGCCGTCCACGCCGTAGGGGTTGCTGCCTACGGGCGGCCCGAAGTAGGGCGAGGTCGGATACCAGCCCCACTCGGCCACCCCGGTCTGCAGGAGCTTCCAACGGTCGGCCTTGGTGCGGGTGGCTACGACCATGGCGCCGTAGGCCTGCATCTGGGTGATGATGGCGGAGGCGGCGCCCTGGACGGTGAGGACGATGCAGGGCAGCCCGGCCCGGGCGGCGTAGGCCGCGGCCGCGGCGCCGGCATTGCCGGTGGAGCTGACCCCCACCGCCCGGGCACCGAAGCGCGGCGCCATGGCGATGGCGGCGAACGCCAGCCGGTCCTTGAAGGAGCCCGACGGATTCTGCGATTCGTCCTTCAGGAACAGCCGCTCGATCCCGATCCTGCGCCCGTAGCGCTCGCAGTGGAGCAGCGGCGTCTCCCCCTCGCCCAGGGTGGCGGCGTCCTGGATGTCCGGGGGCAGCAGCTCGCGGTAGCGCCGCATGCCGGGGGGCCGGCCGTGCAGCGACTCGACGGACAGCGCCCGGCCGACGGCGTCGAGGTCGTAGCGCGGCGTGAGGTTGGCGGGGGCCTCCCGCCGGCATTCCGGGCACCCGTCGAAGCGGGGCTCGATGCCGAAAGATGCGCCGCAGCGGATGCAGACGAGACCGGTGAGGTGACTCATGTTCGGACTATGCTTTGAAGACTCAGATCAATTGTGATGGCGCCCTTCGACTTCGCTTCGCTACGCTCAGGGCGAACGGGTTTTTTATTGGAGTCTCTTAACTTATCCGTTCGCCCTGAGCCCTTCGACAAGCTCAGGACAGGCGTAGCGAAGCGAAGTCGAAGGGCACCATCACGAACGCGGGGTTTCTTTAATCAGAATCCCTTAACTTATCCGTTCGCCCTGAGCCCTTCGACAAGCTCAGGACAGGCGTAGCGAAGCGAAGTCGAAGGGCGCCATCGAAGTCGAAGGGCGCCATCACGAACGAGGCTCCAGCACCTGGAGATGGCGCGGTACGGAGGTGAGCCGCCGGTAGCCGTCCTCGGTCACCACGATCATGTCTTCCACCTGGACGCTGCCCCAGCCCATCTCGTAGTAGGGCGTCTCGATGCACAGCACCATGTCGGCCTCCAGGGCTGTGTGGTCTCCCGGGGGCGATGGTGGGGCGGTCGTAGCCGCCGAGGCCCAGGCCGATGCCGTGTCCCACGTGCTGGCGGCCGTAGTGCGGGATGCCGGTCTCGCGCACTTCGGCCACCGTGTCGTTGAAGATCTCGGAGGCGATCTTGCCCGGCTTGACCAGGCTGAGGGCCAGATCTTGGCCTTTCAGAACAGCGTTGTAATAGCTGGTGAATTTGTCGTCCGGCGGGCCGAAGGAAAACGTCCGGGACATGTCGGTGAGGTAGCCTTTGTAGAGGCACCCCACGTCGAAACGGATCATGTCGCCGACCTTGAGCCGGTCTTCGGGCACGTTGCTCATGCCAGGGCGCGCTTCGCCGAAGCCCACGTGGTTCATGTTGGGCTCGGCGCCACGCCGCACCTGCCCGAGGTCGAAGGCGAGGCACATCTCGCCTCGGTCATGCCCTCGCGGGCCTCGTGCGCGGCCTCGTAGATGGACTGCTCGGTGACCCGCACCGCCTCGGTCATGCGCTCGATCTCGGCGGCGCTCTTGACCATGCGGATCTCCCGGAATGCCGACATGGCCGGCACCAGCTCCAGGTGCGGCAGCCGCTCCTTCAACCGCTCCGCCAGGGCCGGATCCAAACCCCGTTCGTCGTAGCCGAGCCGGCTCCGGTCGAGGCCCGCGTTCTCCAGCGTCCGGACGATGCCCTCGAAGAAGTCCTTCACCGGTTCCAGGTCGATGCCGATCTCGCGGATGCGCTGTTCGCGCTCGGTGAGCGGCACGTTGTCTTCCATCACACGGAAGAAGGTGCCGTAGGTGACCACCCCCGCCGGCGGCACGGTGTCCACCATATAGTCCACCTCGCCCCGGGGAATCACGAGCCACGGCGCCGTCACCGCGTCCCGGGTGACGATGGCGGCGATATCCTGCCGGCGCCACACCCCGCTCAGGTAGAAGACGTTGGGAATATTGGTGGCGGCGAACAGGCCGTCGAGGTCCCGCTCGGCCAGAACCCGCTGCGCCCGCGGTTCATTGATCCACATGTGAAGGCTCCTGGGATGGAAAGTGGCGTTGCTGTGAAAGCACCGAATATAGGGGAGCCGAATCGGGGGTGTCAAACAAGGCTTGGCAGTTGTCACTCCACGGTGGTTTCAGTACCACCCGGCAAGAATCTTGCTGAAATAGGAGGTCGATATTGTTATCATGGCTCTCGACATGACGGGTTCCACGGTACTTGAGGAGATCGATGGGCTGAAGAGGGAGCTGGACGCATATGCGGCCGCTGCCCCCGGACGTGGTGGGCCGGATCGGGCAAAAGCTCAGGCTCGAATGGAACTACCACTCGAACGCGCTGGAGGGTAACAGCCTCACGCTGGGAGAAACGAAGAGCCTGATTCTCCATGGCCTTACCGCGCAGGGGAAGCCCATGCGCGATCACCTGGACATCGCCGGGCACGACGAGGCCGTCAAGGCGATGGAGGAAGCGGTTGCAGCAACCAGGCGCTCACGCAGGTCTTCATACGCAATCTACATCAGGTGCTGCTCAAGGAGCCGTACGAGAACGACGCGGTCACGCCGGATGGGCGGCACGTAAGGCGGCGCATTGCCATCGGCGCATACAAGGTGCAGCCGAACAATGTGAGGACCTCCACCGGCGAGACGTACTACTTCACCCCCCCGGATCAGGTTCAGTCAGCCATGGGTGATCTCGTGGAGTGGTACCGAAAGAGCGAGGACAAGGGGAGCATCCTGTCGTCATTGCCGCCACGTTCCACTATCGCTTCGTCCGCATTCACCCCTTCGACGACGGGAACGGGCGTATGGCCCGGCTCTTGATGAACATGATCCTCATCAGGCACGGCTACACCGTGGCCCTGATACCCACGGAGGAGAGAGACCACTACATCGGTACGCTGGAGCGCGCCGACAAGAGCGAAGATCTCGCGGAGTTCATTGCCTATATCGCCGCCTGTTGCCGATACGCCCTGAATCTCCATCTGAGGGCCGCCCGTGGCGAGGATATCGAAGAGGTGGAGGACATCGACAAGGAGATCGCTCTCTTCAAAAAGTCCCTGCACACGAGCCCTGGGGGCATGGTCCATGCAAGGGAGTACGCCGCCACGGTGCTGTATCCCCTGTTTTCCCATTGCCAGGAGAAAATTGAGCAGTTGTCGGATCAGTTCACCTCTACAGACGCTCTGGAGAGCGCTTCGGTCACAAAGGAAGACAATACCGTTGCGTCTTGCGGTTTGTCGAAAGACAGTCGTGACTGGCCGCAGAGCGCACTTGCCCTCTCCGTGACCATTCGCCTCCGGTTAGTTGGTTTTCGAGGTGAGAGTGGAAAGTCCTTCTACTTCGTAATAACCAATACGGCCGATTCGAATAGGTGTGCCTGGAGATTCACCGTCTCAGACGTTGCAGCCGCCCCCTTGCATGAGAAGGACTACACGGGCCAGGACCTCGACGTGCTCAAGAAGCTGTTCAACGAGACGTTGCGCGCCATGATGGAAGAGATCTCGAAGGCATCTCCCGACTCCTGAGGATACCATGTGGTCTTCTCTACCCACCCCGCTACGGTTCTTGAATTTTGAAAATGCCTCATGTAAGAGATAGCTCTTGAATTTTCAAGAAGTTTGGAGGAGCACATGGCCAAGCCGCGGAACAAGTAGATACCACGATGGACAACACCCCCTTCTTCTACAAGTGGCAGAAGGGCGAGGGAATTCCTGTCGTCGAGACTTTCTTCATCAAGGACTTGAAGGAGGTGCCGCTCAAGTGGTGGGACCGCATGGGCGGTGACGGGACCCTCTTCAATATGGAGGGAGCGGGCGATGCCACCGGCGCCTACATCGTGGAGATCGCGCCGGGGAAGAGTCTGAACCCCATGCGCCACCTCTACGAGGAGCTGATCCTGGTGGTGCAGGGGTCGTGGCGCCACCACCATCTGGAACGACAACGGCGCCAAGCAGACCTTCGAGTGGCAGGAAGGGAGCCTCATTTCGGTCCCGTTGAACGTGCATCACCAGCACTTCAACGGCCAGGGCGACAAGCCGGCGCGGCTGTTCTCGGTCAACAACATGCCCATCGTCTTCAGCCTGTTCCACAACGATGACTTCATCTTCAACACGCCCTACGACTTCGCGGACCGCTTCGATGGCCGGCCGGACTACTTCTCCAGCACGGGCACGCAGCATCCCGGCCGCATCTGGGAGACCAACTTCATCGCCGACACGCGCACCTTCAACCTCCAGGAATGGAAGGAGCGCGGCGCGGGCGGCAAGAACGTCTTCCTGGAGATGTGCGACGGCACCATGGCGGCGCACATCTCCGAGTTCCCGGTAGGGACCTACAAGAAGGCGCACCGCCACGGGCCCGGCTTCAACGTCATCATCATCAAGGGGGCAGGGTTTCTCGCTGTTCTGGTGGGAAGGCGAAGAGCCCAAGCGCTACGACTGGCAGGACGGCAGCGTGTTCGTGCCGCCGGAGAGCATGTTCCACCAGCACTTCAACCTCGGCCCCACCGGCGCGCGCTACCTGCCGTTGCGTTTCGGCGGCATCAAGCACAGCATGGGCGAGAACTACGGAGACATCTCCAAGGTCGACAAGGACGTGAAGTCCGGTGGAAACCAGATCGAGTACTACGACCAGCCGGCGTACATCCGCGAGATGTTCGAGGCGGATATGGGCAATACCGGGGCCACGTCGAGGATGGATCAGGCCGTCTACGCGAAGCCCGCTGCATAAGGGAACGGTCCTGTGACAAGGGGAGGAAGCCTCCGCGCTTCCTCCCCTTTTTTGTCCGCGCAAGCGAACCCTGCCGGCCATCACGCCGGCCCGACGCCATGGCTGCTCCGATAATCCTGACCCTACTGTCCTATCTCCTGGGATCGATTCCCGCCGGTTTCCTGGTGGGATCGTCCGCCGGGGTGGACGTGCGCAGCGCCGGCAGCGGCAACATCGGCGCCACCAACGTGGCGCGGACGCTGGGCTGGAAGAAGGGCCTCGTCACCCTGTTCGCCGATGTCGCCAAGGGTTTCCTGCCGGTGTTGGCGGCTCATCTGCTGGACCTCGGCAATGCCGCTGCCGCTGCCGCCGGTCTGGCCGCCTTCGCCGGCCATCTCTATCCCGTATTTCTGCGGTTCAAGGGCGGCAAGGGTGTCGCCACCGCCGCCGGCGTCTATCTCGCCGCCATGCCCCTGGGGATCCTGGTGGTGGTGGGAGTGTTCGTGCTGGTGATGCTGGCAGCCCGGCGGGTATCACTGGCTTCCCTGTCGGCGGCTGTGCTGGCTCCAGTGGTGGCGTGGGCGCTTTCCTATCCCGAGGAAGTGGCTTGGATGAGCCTGGTCATCGGTATCCTGGTGGTGCTCCGCCACAGGGACAACATCCGCCGTCTGATGGCAGGGGAAGAGCCCCGGTTCAATCTGCGCCGCTAGTGGCGGTTATCCGATCTCAAACATTCGTGGGCGCAGTGCGCTGGATCAACTCTTCGAGCGCCCGCATGGCTTGACGGTGTTGATCGTCGCGATGTTTCGAGGCATGGCGCATCTGACCCAGTCCCCAGGCGATCAACAGGATTTGACCGACTCCGATACCGAGAGTAATCCATGCCTGGGTATGCTGGATGGCCAACGTGGCTTGCCGGACGATCAATGTTGCGGTTTCAAACTCGGTCATGTGGGTTCTTCTCGGTGGTACAGAAACTATGCTGCGCAAACGGACTTGTCAATGATCTCTCGTGACAGTCGGTGCTTACGAATCGGTGGCTCACTTGGATGGCTGCACCAACATCCTGGTTAGTAAAGATCGGCGGGATGCGCGGTTTCTTAAGTGACCCGTACCCTGATTCGGCCTGCCACAACGAATTATTTCGCGCTTGCCAGCCATGAACTTCATCGGCATCGACCTGGCTTGGGGCAACCGCAATCCGAGCGGGTTGGCCCATCTGGTGGCGGACGGCGCCGGTTGCCGGCTCACGCGAGCGGATCGGCGTACCACCGACCGGGAGATTCTGGAGTGGGTGGAAGCGCGCGGCGGCGAGGACGTGTGGCTGGGCATCGACGCGCCCATCATTGCCAAGAACCCGCCGGGGACGTCCCGGCCAGCGGACAAGATGGTATCGTCGCGGTTCGGCCGCTATCACGCGGGGGTCTATCCGGCCAACCGGGTCCGCTGTGAGCGGCCGGTGCGGTTGTGCCGCAAGCTCCGGCGCCGGGGTTTTTCGTCGAACCCGTTCCTCCCCGACCGCGGCGGCCGCCGCCAACTCGAGATCTTTCCCCACCTGGTCCAGGTGGCTTTCTTCGAGCGGCCGCGCATCATCAAGTACAAGAAGGGCGCCGTTTCGGTCCGGCAGGCCGGTTTGGCCGAGTTTCAGGCCGCTATCGAGAAACACCTGAGCCGTCAGGACCCTCCCCTGCTGCCGTCGCCCGCGCTCGCTGAATTGTTTCGCGAAGACCCCCGGACGCTACGCGGCGCGGCCCTCAAGTCGCTCGAGGACCGGCTCGACGCACTATTGTGCGCCTACATGGCATTCTATTTCCGGACTTGGGGAGAGACGCGCTGCGAGGTCATCGGCGATCATGCCGAGGGCTACATCATCAGCGTCCGGGGGTGATCGATTTACTGACGGCACGTTAGAGGCGAAGCTTGACGCAATCGCGACCGTTACGTCGGCGACCGCGGATGGCTTTGGCGGCTCACGTCTGCCGCCGCGCTCTCGCCTTGGCCGGTTTCCTGACACCCGTGGCGGCCTGTTCCAGGCGCGCATCCCGGTAGTAGCCGAGGGCGATGATCAGCGACTGGGCCAGCACGATGGGCGCGGCCAGGGGCCGGAAACGGTGTACTTCGGCATCGCGGACCACGAAATAGAGGCTGGAGTTGCGGGCGAGCGGGCTCGTCATGGAATCGGTGACGGCGAGGACGGGAACCTTGCGGATGTGGGCGTCGGAGACGATGTCGACGACCGGCGGGGAGTACTCGGCAAAGCTGACCGCGATCAGGAGATCGTCGCTCCTCATGGTCGCGACCTGCTGCGGCACCATGCCGCCGACGGAGTCGAGCAGGTGGCACCGGTATTCGAGCCTGATGAGACCGTACGCCAGATAGGCGGCCACCGGAAAGGCCCGCCGCTGCCCGATGACGTAGATGGCCTTTGCACCGTCCATCATGCGGACCGCTTCCCGCAATGCCTCGCCGTCGATGTCCGCTTTGAGATGTTCGAGGGCAAGGGCGGAAGCGTCGGCGAACCCGTTCAGGATCGCGGAAGGATCATCCTTGGCGGCCTCCTGCAGTTCGCCGCGATGCTCGTGGATCTGACCTCGGAACGGCGCCGCGCCCTCGATCAGCCGCAGCCGGAAGACCCGCTGCATCTCGGTGAAGCCCGAGAAGCCGAACACCTTCGCGAACCGGATGAGGGTGGATGGCTGCACGCCGGTCTCCTGCGCCGTCTCGGCCACCGTCTGTAGCGCGAACCGGTTGGGATCTTCCAGGGCGTACTGGGCAATCCGCTTCAAGTGCGGGGCTCAGCGCCTCGAATCGGTGCTGGAACGCTTCGCGCAGCCGGTCGAATTCCTTTGGCGGTGGTGCGCTCGCCATGCCTCACTCCATCCCCTGGAAATCAGAGCAGATCCGCATCCCGCGACATTCCCAGAAATTGAGCAGAAATTCAATGAGATAGGGATGTCGGCGTACAGAATGAATATTCAGTCTTGACTTCCAATTCCGAACTGGTGTTTAATTCGAACAGAATTTCCAAGACTGGGGGCCTATCGAATATTTATGCGAGCTGGAGGCCAGCCATTATGACGGAAAAGGTGGGATTTGCCGGCACGGGGTTGATGGGTCGTGGCATGGCGAAGAACATCCTGGCCGCGGGATACCCGGTGGCCGTGGTGGCCTACCGGAGCCGGGCCCCGGTGGAGGAGCTCGTCCGCCTGGGCGCGACGGAGCTTCACAGCTATCGCGAATTGGCGGCGGGCTCCGACATCGTGGTCCTTTGCGTTACCGGAACGCCCGAGGTCGAGAGCGTCGTCCATGGACGGGACGGGCTTCTGGAAGGGGCGCACGCCGGGCTGATGGTGGTGGATTGCTCGACCAGCGAGCCCGCTTCGAGCGAGCGCATTGCCGCTGCCCTGGATGAACGGGGCGCTTCCTTTGTGGATGCGCCGCTTGCGCGCACCCCGGCGGAGGCCGAGGCGGGACGCCTGAATACCATGGTCGGGGCGGCGGATGACGACTTCGAGCGCGTCCGCCCCCTGCTGGAGGCCTGCTGCGAAAACATCTTCTACATGGGGCCGGTGGGCTCCGGCCACAAGACCAAGCTCATCTACAACTTCATCACCATGGGATACGCCGCGCTCATATCCGAGGCGCTCTGCGCCTGCGCGGCCACCGGAGTCGACCTGAAGCGGTTCTCCGATGTCGTGTCGGCCGGCGGGGCCAACAGCGGGATCTTCCAGTTGATCGTACCAAGGCCATCGAGTCGGGGGACTGCTCCGGCCTCAACTTCAGCCTGGCCAACGCGGAGAAGGACCTGCGCTACTACAACCACATGGCGGACACGGTGCCGTTGTCCGGCAATCTCGGCCGGGCGGTGCAGCATGCGCTGATACAGGGCCTCAACCTCGGCTACGCGGACGGCCTCGTCGGGGATCTGCTGCACGTTCAGGAAAAGATCAACGGAGTCGCGATCTTGAACCAGGAATCACAAGGCACTGCGCGGGCCGCCGGCGATAAGGCGACGGCGTGAGCACAGGGAAACGATGATCAACCTGAATGGCGTCCTTCGACTTCGCTTCGCTACGCCTGTCCTGAGCTTGACGAAGGGCTCAGGACGAACGGGATGAAGCCTTATCCCGTTCGTCCTGAGCCCTTCGACAAGCTCAGGACAGGCGTAGCGGAGCGCTAGCGAAGCGAAGTCGAAGGACGCCATTCAGGAGAGACGAATTTCACAAAAGGAGGAAAGGACCATGGCAAAAAGGAACCTAACGAGACGTTCACTGTTGAAGAAGGCCGGGCTGCTTTCGGCGGGGAGCCGCGGCGGCCACCTTCATGGGACCCTGGCGCTACAACCGCGTGTATGGCGCCGCCTCGCCAAGCCCATCGTGATCGGGCCTGACGTCGGATGCTCGGGCAGTACGCCAACTCCGGCGCTTCCGATCGGCGGGGCATGCAAATGGCCATCTCCGAGTTCAACGCGCGCGGCGGTGTGCTCGGACGCAAGGTGGAGACCATGCACATCGACACCGAGACGACCCCGGCCACGGGCAGCCGCGTGGCGGAACGTCTGATCACGCGCAACGAGTGCGCCTTCCTGATCGGCGCGGTCAGCTCGGGAGTCGCCAACGCCATCTCGCAGGTCGCCCAGAAATACGGCACGCGTGTACCTCAACACGAACTCGAGCTCGCCCACCGAATCGGGCAAGAACTGCCATCGGGTCAAGTTCGTGTGGGACGGAACGGCAGGAAATTTCGCGCAGGCCGCGGTCAAGAACGCCATCAGCGCCTATGGCACGAAATGGCTGCTGATGACCAACGACTACGTCTGGGGTCACAATACCTCTGCCGCCACACGCAAGCTGGTGGAGCAGCACGGCGGCAAGATCATCGACGAGATCCTGGTGCCGCAGGGGACGCGCGATTTCAGCGCCATGCTGCTGAAGGCGCAGCAGGCGTCTCCGCAGGTGGTCGCGGCGGCCGTGGGCGGTGACGACCTGAAGGCCATGCGCCAGCAGGTCTCCCAGCTCGGACTCGGCCAGAAGATGGCCTGGATCAACAACCAGCAGGACTGGCCCGACGTGTACGGTCTGCCGCTGGACAACCTGTTCGGCGTGTTCGGCACCACCTGGTACTGGAAGCTGGACCTGCCGGGTGTCGCGGAGTTCGTGAAGCGGTATCAGGCTGCCTACCCGGATGCCAAGATACGCGTGCCGGGGAATGTCTTCTACAACGGCTACATGGCCACCAGCGAGCTGCTGAAGGCGGTGGAGCGGGCGGGCTCCACCAACAACCGGAAGGTGATCGGGGAACTGGAGGGCCTGAAGGTCTCGGCCCGCGATCGGATGCAGCACCACGATGCGTACATGAATCCCGGGACCCATCAGATGCAGCAGACGGTTTACCTGGCCACCGCCAATGTCGGCACAAAGGACCGCGACGACATGTTCAAGCTCCTCAGCCAGTCGAGCCCGGAGGAGATCCGGGACAAGGGGGCGGACGCGGCCTGCAAGATGGAGTCGCTCGGGGACACGCCCACCTACGAGATGTAGCGGGCCCTTTCAGTAGGGGTTCTCCCGCTGCCGCCGGTTCCTCTCCGGCAGGAGCCGGCGGCGTGCTATTCTGGGTGACTGTATCGACCGGCTGCGCAGTGCGGGCACGGGCGGGTTTGAAACCCGCCCCTACACCGTCATCGCACGGCGGCTACCAAGGCCAGGCCAACACCGCGGCCAGGCCCCTGCGGCGCAGGACACTAGTGTGGTGTCTCACAAATACGCTTATGAAGATGCGAGGGCATTTTGGTCGTCGGCAAGGCGCGATGACTTGTAGGGGCGGGTTTCAAACCCGCCCGTGTGGCCGTTACCACGCGAGGAAGAGCAACGCAGCCGACGGCCAAAAGGACCCGCAGATTCGTAAGCGTATTTGTGAGACACCACACTAGGGACCGGATCCCGATGGCATCTCCATGTTCGCGCGGGAGGCTGCATTCATCTGACCGGGAGGCCCGCTGAAGACTCGCCATGCCGAACATCGTCCCTCATCTTCTGAACGGTCTGAGCCTCGGTCTTCTGTTCGCGCTGATCGCGCTGGGCTTCATGCTCATCGTCGGCGTCATGGAGCTCATCAACCTCGCCCACGGTTCGCTGTTCGCGCTGGGCGCGTACTTCGCAATGGTCGTCATCTCTCCGGACCTTGCCTGGCTCGGCTCCGCAGGGGAGGGATACCAGGCGCTTCCCCTGGCGGTGCGCTACGGCTTGGCGATTCTCGTGGCCCCGGTGCTGGTGGCCGTCGTCGGCATGGGCCTGGAGCTCTGCATGCGCCGAACCTACGGCAAGAAGGCGGAATACGGTCTGCTGCTGACCTTCGGCGCGGCCATCGTCATCGAGGAGACCATCCGGCTCGTCTGGGGACCCTCCGAGCAGTATCTGCAAGTGCCGCAGGCCATATCCGGGGCCTTTCTGTTCGCCGGCCTGATCTACTCGAATACAAGCTGTTTGCCGCCCTGTTCGCGGTGGCCGCCATCATCATCGTCTGGCTGTTCCTGGAGCGGACGCCCTACGGAGCCATCATCAAGGCCGGGGCTCATGACAGCGAGATGGTGCGGGCGCTGGGGATCAACCTGACCCGGCTGCGTTTGCTGGTGTTCGGTCTCGGAGCCGGTCTGGCAGGCTTCGCGGGGATCGTGCTGACGCCCATCTGGGGGCTCCGGCCCCACGTGGGGCGTCGATGCCGTCATTCCCGCCTTTCTCATCATCGTGCTCGGCGGCATCGGCAGCTTCTGGGGCGCCGTCCTCGGCGGCATCCTGGTGGGGCTGGCGGTGGGAATTACCGGGGCCTACGCCTCGGAGTGGTCGCTGCTGTCGATGTATCTGCTCCTGATTGCCGTCTTGACGGTCCGGGCGCGCGGCCTGCTCGGCAGGAAGAGCGTGCTGGAGGCGTGAACGATGGCAGTGCGTATATCCATCGCAACCGTCGCAAGCCGCTGGTTATCCCGTGAGATGGCGCTCCTGTTCGTCATCATGGCCACGCTGCCGCTCTGGATCCGGCCCATCGGGCTGTACCAGTATATCGGCATCGAGATCGCCATATGGATGATCTTTGGCCTCGGCTTCAACCTGTTGCTGGGCTACTCCGGCCTGCCAAGCTTCGGCCACGGAGCCTTCTTCGGGATCGGCGCATACGCATTCGGTCTTTTTCAGGCACGGGTCTTCGAGAGCCTCCTGCTCGGCATCGCCTTCGCCACCGCGGCGGCGTTCGTCGCCGGCGCCATGGTGGCCTGCTTCCTGTCTCATCGGCGCGGCATCTACTTCGCGCTGATGACCATCGCCTTCGGCCAGGTGTTCTGGTTCATCGCCATCAAGTGGCACACCGTTACCGGCGGCGAAGACGGGTTGCTGAACATCCCGCGCCCCGCGCTGGATCTCGGCGTGGTGTCCGTGGAACTGAGCTCCAACGTCGCCCTTTTCTATTTCGTGGTCCTCGTTCTCGCCGCTCTCGTCGTGGTTTTGTGGCGGCTCGTCCATTCGCCGTTCGGAAAGGTGCTGCAGGCGGTCCGGCAGAACGAGGCGCGAGCGCGCTTCGTCGGCTACAACGTCTGGCTGTTCAAATGGGCGGTGTTCTCCCTGTCCGCGGCCATAGCGGGGCTGGCGGGCTCGCTTTTCTCCATGGCGCAGCAGAGCGCGTACCCCGACGTCATGAGCCTCCACGCATCCGGCGTGATCGTCATGATGACCCTGATCGGCGGCGGATTCGTCAGTTTCTGGGGTCCGGTCGTGGGAGTCGCGGTCTATTTCCTGGCCCGCGACGTGCTCGGCTCCGTGACCGAGACCTGGCTGCTCTGGTTCGGGCTGGTGTTCATGGTGATGGTGCTGTTCAAGCCCGAAGGGATCGCCGGCGCGTGGCAGGAGCGGTTTGGCTCCAGCGACCGTCCTTCGACTTCGCTTCGCTACGCTCAGGACGAACGGGAAGAGTTCGCAAAACCGCACCAGAGTCCCCCCGAGAGGTAGCATGGCCCTGTTCGAAGCTCGCGGCATACACAAACGGTTCGGTCACCAGGTGGTGCTGGAGAACATCGATCTCTCTTTCGAGCCCGGCTGCCTGAGCGGCATCATGGGTCCCAACGGCGCCGGCAAGACCACCTGCTTCAACGTGCTGACCGGCAGCTTCAAGCCCGACCGGGGCCGGGTTTTGTTCGATGGCGAGGACATCACCGGACTGTCCCCCAATGCCATCGCGCGCAGGGGCATCTCGCGATCGTTCCAGACCATGAGCCTGTTCGACGAGTACTCCGCGCTGGAGAACGTGTTGATCGCGTTGCCGGAAGTGCGCGCGCGCGGCTTCAACATGACCGACCTGCTGGCCACGGACGGCGAGACGGCCGACCGTGCCGCGGCCGTCCTCGCGCGGGTCGGCCTGTCCGGGCGGGAGCGCCGCCGCGCCGGCGATTTGGCCTACGGCGAGCGGCGCGCCCTGGAGATCGGCGTAGCGCTGGCCGCCGCGCCGCGCCTGCTCTTTCTCGACGAGCCCACGTCGGGCCTCGGCACCGAGGCCACCGCGCGGCTCGGCGACCTCGTGCAGGACCTCAAGCGCGACTACTCCATCGTGGTGATCGAGCACGACATGCAGTTCCTGTTCGGCCTCGCCGATACCATCTCGGTCATCCACTGGGGTCAGGTGATCGCCAGCGGCACCCCGGACGAGCTGCGAGAGAACAAATGGGTGCAGCGGTCGAGCCTGGGGGCATTCTGATCCATGGGAGTCAATCGCCAAGGCTCAATGAGAAGACGTCCGGGTGCACTCTGGTCATTGGGAAACAATCTCCGATGCTAGTGTGGTGTCTCACAAATACGCTTACGAATCTGCGGGTCCTTTTGGCCGTCGGCTGCGTTGCTCTTCCTCGCGTGGTAACGGCCACTGCTCGTCCTGAGCGTAGCGCAGCGAAGTCGAAGGACGCCTTGCCGACAACCAAAATGCCCTCGCAGCTTCATAACCGTATTTGTGAGACACCACACTCGATGGAGAGACGTAGGGGCGGGTTTCAAACCCGCCCGTGCTCGGGTCACCTCGCAGAACTGGAGGACTGAGGTGATTCTCGAGATCATCGACATCGAGACCTTCTACGGCGAGACCCAAGCGCTGTTCGGCGTGTCGTTGAACGTCGGGCAGGGCGAGGTGGTGGCGTTGCTGGGGCCGAGCGGGGCCGGCAAGACCACCACCCTGCGATCGATCCTGGGACTGACGCCGGCAAGGCAAGGGGCCATCAAGTTCGACGGAAGCGACATCACGACGAGGGCCACCCACGAGATCGCCCGGCTGGGAGTCGGCTGGGTCCCGGACGATCGCCGCATCTTCCCCGCCCTGACCGTGGCGCGAAACCTGTCCATCGCCCGCAAGCGCACCCGGTTCCGGTCCTGGTCCCTGCACGAGATGTTCGAGATTTTCTCCGCCCTCGAGCACCTGATGGAGCGCGAGTGCGAGAACCTGTCCGGCGGTGAGATGCAGATGGTCGCCATCAGCCGGGCGCTGCTGGGCGCGCCGGGCCTGGTGTTGTTCGACGAGCCGTCCCAGGGCCTCGCGCCCAAGGTGGTCCAGGATGTGATGACGACGGTCTCGCGCCTGAAGGAAGCCGGGGTGTCCGCCCTGGTGGTGGAGCAGAACGCGTCCACCGCGCTCCAGGTCAGCGACCGCGCCTACGTCATGGACCGGGGCCGCATCGTCCACCAGGGGCCGGCGGCCGATCTCCTGGCCGACGACGACCTGCGCGTGGGCCTGTTGGGGGTTTGATGATGACGGCGCCGATCCTCGAAGTCCGCGGCCTGGTCAAGCGTTACACCCGCGGCCTGCTCCGTCCGAGAGAGACGTTCCGGCTGGAGGCGGACCTGACCATGCCGGACTCGGCCATCGTCGGCGTCATGGGACCCAATGGCTCGGGGAAAACCACGCTGTTCGAGTTGATCACCGGCTCGAACATGCCGAGCGCGGGCTCGGTCCGGGTCATGGGCAGGAACATCCACGACGTGAAGTACGGAGAGCGGGACCGGTTGGCGATCCATTATCACCAGTCGTACCAGGTGCGGCACTTCCGCAGGACCCGGCCCTCGTTCCTGATGCAGCCGGCCGGCCATGACTACCCCATGGTGCATCTGTTCGACGAGCCGCAGTTCAACACCCGGGACGGCTACATCGGCTTCATGCTGGATTTCTTTCGCAGGCTGCGGTCCGAGGGCCGGCTCGTTCTCGTCTGCCTGCACCCGAACGAGCCCTACCACATCGAGTTGATGGAAGAGGTTTGCGAGCGCTTCGTCTTCGTCCTGGCGGGGCGCGTCCGCGAGTATCCGGATTTCCGCGCGATGGTCGAGGCGCGGGAGGTCCGGTCCTATCTCGGCCGGCTGGCTCCGCCGGCCGTGGAAGGATGGCGATGAACGACAAACGGCTCTCCGTCGTCACCGGCGCCGCGGGCGTCCTCGGCACCGCGGTAGCGCGCCAGCTTGTTGCCGACGGGCACCGCGTCCTGATGATGGACATCGCCGCCGACCCGGCTGGAGGCGACGGCGCGGGACATCGGCGACGCGGCTTCTCCCATGGTCGTGGATGTAGGCTGTCCGGTCACCGTGGAACGGGCCTGCGAGACCATCCTCAAAGAGCACGGCACCGTCGATACCCTGGTCAACAACGCCGGCATTCTCTCCAACAACAAGGTCGAGGAAACCGCAGTGGACGAGTGGCACCGGCTCATGGCGGTGAACCTGGACGGCGCCTTCTATCTCACACGCGCCCTGCTCCCGGGCATGCGCAAGCAGCGCTGGGGCCGCGTGGTGAACGTCTGCTCGCTGGCCATGAAGACCGGCGGCCTCACCGCAGGAACCGCCTACACCGCCTCCAAAGGCGGCCTGGGTGCGCTGACCTTCTCCCTCGCGCGGGAGGTTGCGGCCGACGGCATCACCGTCAACGGGGTCGCGCCGGCATACGTGCGGACACCCATGGTCACCGAGCAGCTCACCAGCGTTCAGCGCGAGGCACTGCTCCGGCAGATCCCGGTGGGCCGCTTCTGCGAGCCGGAGGAGGTCGCGCGCCTGATCGCATTTCTGGTGTCGCCCCACGCGGGTTTCATCACCGGCGAGATCATCGACATCAACGGCGGTCTGCACATGGACTAGCGGCCGCCGATGAATTGTATGGCGTCCTTCGACTTCGCTTCGCTACGCCTGTCCTGAGCCTTGTCGAAGGGCTCAGGACGAACGGTTTCGAGACCTTATCCCCGTTCGCCCTGAGCCCTTCGACAAGGCTCAGGACAGGCGTAGCGAGGCGTAGCCGAGCGGAGTCGAAGGGCGCAGTCTGAGGAGGTTTTTCACCCATGAACCGCATCACCCCTACCATCGACTTCGCCGCCGAGCTCACGGATCTCTTCGACATGCGCGACAAGGTCGTGTTCATGCCCCGGGGGGATACGGCGGCATCGGTGAGGCCATTGCCTGGGCCCTGGCGCTGGCCGGCGCACACGTCACCATCGCCGGGCGGGACGCCGGGAAGGCGCAAAACTGGCCGGCGCCCTGGTCGAGCACGGCCTCTCGGCCGACGGCATCGTGCTGGATGTGGAGTCAGTTCCGTCGATCCGTGACGCGGCCGACAGCATCGCCGAGCGCTACGGGCGCATCGACGTGCTGGTCAACTGCGTCGGGATACAGCGCGAGGAGCCGCTGCTCGAAGTCACCGAGGAGGCCTACGACGAGGTCTATCGGGTCAACCTCAAGGGCGCCATGTTCCTGGCCCAGGCCGTCGCGAAGCACCAGACTCGCGGCGGGCAAGGGAGGCCGGCAGGTGCACCTGCTATCGGTGCGCGCGCAACTCGGGCTGCGCGACCGCGGCTATTCCGCCTATTGCAGCACCAAGGGCGGCCTGGTCATGCTCATCAAGCAGCACGCCATGGAGCTGGCCCGGGACGGAATCACGGTCAACGGCGTGGCGCCCCACCTTCGTCTACACCGAGATGATCCGCCACGTCATCGAGAACCCCGAATTCCGTAACCAGCTCCTGGAGCGGATCCCGCTGGGCAGAATCGCCGACCCCAAGGACGTGGTTCGGGCCGGTGATGTTCTTCTGCTCGGATGCCTCGGCGTTCGTGACGGGCAGATCATGTACGTGGATGGGGGATTACGGCGAGTCAGTGAAAGCGCGGGCCGCCACGTCTTGGGCCTTCATCAGCGATAATCCGTTCAGCCGCAAGATCGTCGACGATACGGCAGGTAAGGTCTGCCTCGCCGCGTACATGGGCAAGAACCTCCCGCAGTGCCCTTTCGATTTCGCGCCCAAGCTCTGTGCGCTCTGTAGTCATTCTCCCTGCCTCTCTCTTTCAGTTCGCGGCGGTGCCCTCACCGTGCTCCTTGAGAGCCCCGACTGAATCCTTGAGAGTCGAGACCGCCTCCTTCAGGCCTCCTACTGCCTCGCGCAGGGTATTCACGTCGTGTCGGACTTCACTCAAGTCGCGACGTATTTCACGCGTATCGCTATGCATATCGTCACGCAGCTCGGTGAAACGCCGGTCCATGTCTTGGCGCACCTGCTTGATGCCCGTCATTGCGAGGGTGCCGACTGTGGCGCCGACAGCCACCATGGACACGATGATGCTGACCGTTTCTGCGTTCATTTGTTGGCCGGCTCCTTCCCTTTTTGTGAACTAGCCTTGTCTACAGCCGTCGCAACAGCCTCCCGCCCGAAGCCCCGGTCTAATTGTATTGATCGGTAGGGTACTAGGTTTCTTTAGCAGAGGCCACCCTTTTAGGAAACTCGGAAAGAAACTGAATCGGAACGTCCAATGAAAATACTATGGGAACTCGAGCGCCCGATGCCAGGGTGGCTGTATCAGGCGGGGAAAGTGGTAGCGGGCCGAACCCTCCCACCGGAGACGGTCAACGGCGTTCGTGACGGGCCTTCATGGTGTTATGTTAAAGGATAGTGCCTCGGTTCAATTTTGGTCCGTTTCGCTCACGGAAAGGAACCGCACGTGACATCCAAACTCGTCTGGCAGGTGCTCTCCCTGGCGGTAGCCGTAGGTCATGATCGGCGTCCCAAGCCCGAGTCACGCCCAGGAAACACCCGGCTCGCCCGTTCTGGTGGACTGGACCGCCCCCAGCGAGTCAGGCACGGCTGGTCCGTTCGGCGCACAAGGTCGACTTCTTCCCGCTCAGCAACCACTTCATCGGTCAAGACAACAAGATCTTCTGCGGTCCGACATCCGTCGCCATCGTCTTGAATGCGCTCCGCCCGCGTCATCCGGACGCGCCGCTCACTACCCACTCGCTCACGCCCGAGGACCGCGCCTGGATGCGCGCCGGGTCAAACCCCTTTCTGCGCAAATACACACCGCATAACGTACTGACCGCGCAGACCAAGACGCGGCTCGAAGTCCTGGGCAAGCCCGTTGTCATCAACGGGAAACGGCAGCGCGACTACGGCCTCCAACTTCGTCAGCTCGCGCAAGTATTCCGCGCCCACGACCTTACCATCACTACCCGTGTGGTGGACGCCCAGGCCCAGGCCGCCCGGATCACACGGGAGCTCGCGCACCAATCTCGCCGCGCCGCACAACTTCGTGGTGGTCAACTACTCGCGCCGCGCGCTCGGCCAGCCCGGCGGCGGGCACATCTCCCCGCTCGGCGCATACGACGCCGACTCGGACTCGTTCCTCATCCTGGATGTCAACCCCACCCGCGCCCCGTGGGTCTGGGTCCGTGCCGCCGACCTGGTCGCCGCCATGCGGACCTTCGACACGGTCGAGAATCGGGGTTATCTGCTGGTGTCGGAAAACTAGCGCTACCGCAATCTCCGTGGCCCGCCCCTCGTCTTCATTTCGTCGTCGTAGACCCACCCCGCTCCTTCAGAGCGGCCACCTTTTCCTTCAAAAACCCCACCTCCTCCTTCAAGAAATCCACGGCATCCTTTAGAGTCCCGACCGCTTCCTTCAGTGCCCCCACTGCCTCGCGCAGGGTATTCACGTCGCGTCGCACTTCGCTCACGTCGTGCCGCACTCCACGCATGTCCTCACGCATATCGTCACGCAGCTCGGTGAAACGCCGGTCCATGTCCTGGGCGCACCTGCCTGATGCCCGTCATTGCCAGGGTCCCGACCGCGGCGCCGACAGACAGCCACACCGGACAGCGATGATGCTGATCGTTTCTGCGTTCATTTGTTGGCGGCTCCTTCTTTGTATGATGAACTGCCCTCGCCTGCAGCGGTCGCTACAGCATTCTCGCCGAGCCTCCGACTCTATTGTATTGATCGGTATCATAGTCGGTTTCTTTAGTGGAGGCCACCCTTTTTGCGCGCGCTCGGCTCACACGAACTCCCATTGACATCCACCTCCGTCCACGTATCACGCCCCATAGTCGGGTTTCAGGCAGTCAGTCAGGAAAGATCCAAACGCCATGAGGAGGTTTCGTCATTCGTCATGAGGTCATTGCTACGCGCGGTTGCACTCGGGTTGGGGTTTATGTTGGCGGCGACGGTAGCGTTCGCCGACTATGAAAGCGAACTTTACGCGAAGGCGAAGAAGGAAGGCGAGCTGGTCTGGTACACGACGCTGATCGTCAAGCAGGCGGTGCGGCCCATCGTCGCAGCGTTCCAAAGAAGTATCCGGGCGTCAAGGTGCGCTACTCGCGGGCCAACTCGTCCGACATACGGCCATCAAGATCCTGAGCGAGGGCAAGGCCAACCGCTATCGGGCGACGTGTTCGACGGGACGTCCAACGCGGAAGCGCTCAAGGACGCCAACCTGGTCGAGAAGTGGACGCCGAAGAACGCGGGCATGTATCCGGCCGAGTTCAAAGATCCGGATGGATTCTGGTCGGCGACGCATCTCTACTACCTGACGCCGGGCTACAACACCAGCATGGTTTCCAAGGCGGACGCTCCCAAGACCTTCGAGGACCTCCTCGATCCCAAGTGGAAGGGCAAGATGGCCTGGAGCCCGAGGTCCACCACCTCCGGCGCGGCCGGCTTCATCGGCAACGTCCTGATCGCCATGGGTGAAGAGAAGGCCATGGCCTACCTGAAGAAGCTGGCCAAGCAGGAGATCATCCCGGTGAGCGCCAGCGCCCGCAAGGTGCTCGACCAGGCCATCGCCGGCGAATATCCCATCGCGCTCCAGATCTTCAACCACCACACGGTGATCAGCAGCGGGAAAGGCGCGCCGGTGGACTGGATCAAGATGGAACCGGTTACCGCCAACATCGCGGCCATCGGCGTCATCAAGGGCGCGCGCCATCCCAACGCCGGCAAGCTCCTGATCGAGTTCATGCTGTCGCTGGACGGCCAGAAGGTGCTGCAACAGGCCAACTACCTGCCGGCGCACGCCGACGTCCCGGCCTGGTGCCCACCCTCAAGCCCAAGGAAGGCAATTACAAGGTCAACGTCATGCCGCTCAAGATGGTGCATCGCGAGCTCAAGAAGTGGAAGAAGATCCACTCTGACCTGTTCCGTTAACAGCCCTTAACAGGGGTG